AATTTGCGATCAAAAGAAATGCAAAATAAATATAAGCTAAGTTATATAAAATATTGATCGTGCAATAACTGATAAAAATATCACGTGAAATGCATTGTGAAAATATCATTGTAATTTAATTTCTTTCTCATTTATAATTATGTGATAATATATATTTGGCGAGAATTGGAGTCCCAAACACTTTTGCTTCCCTGTTAATTCAGATATAGGAAATTCCGTTACAATACTATAAAAAAATACAAGCTTGAATTTACGAGAATGCAATTTATAAAATTTTCGTTAGAATCGCTATGGTGGTTTCAACGTTAAAAACTTAGTAAAAAAAAACCGATCGATTACAGTATTAAAAAATCGGTAATAAGAAAAAAACTGTCAGTGTTATAAAACTTAGCAACTAGCTAACAGTAAATGATTAATAACTTTTAAAGATTTAGAATTTGAACAATAATCAAGGGATGAAAGAAAGCCGGATGGACGATGAATTTATTTTCGCAGTTGGTCGTAAAATCCAATAAAAGAACGTACGGGAATCACATCCGCGTGGAAAAGTTCTTACTGGCTGGCACGTAGGAGGAAAGTTCTACTTAACGCCGACCTCTTAAACGACTTTCATTTCGCCAGCGCGCGGCTGATATTTTACCTTTGAAATTCAACGCGCTGGTAACTGCTCAGCTTCAACTACCTCCACCGCCGTTCAATTCATCTCTCGTGAAAATTTACAGAAAAGTTTGATGCTTCCTTGTTATAGGGAGGCGCAAGTGCCGAGAAGAGTGGCCGAGCGTCGGCACCGAGAGAGCTTATAATCTTTTCTTGGACGGGACTTTGCTTTTAGTCCCTTTAATCGTGATGAGCTTGGCTTATTCACTGATCGCGGTGAAACTCTGGCGGGGACTGCGACAGGAAATACGGCAGACATCGAATTGTCAACAACGTTGTAAGTATTGCGAGATTCGTCGGCTCTGCTTGCAAAACACGCGGCAAAGTTCGGTAATTATAATAAGCTTTCGCTCGGGCGGACGGCTACGAAACTACGGGAAACTTTGCAACAGTTACGCACATGGTGCTCTGTAAACGAAAATTTATTTCGAAAGTGGCTGGAATCTCGATTCAACCATGAGATTTCACACCACGTTAAAAAAAGATTACAGATAATTGTGGAGAATGTTCAAACAATTCTTTCGGACGAACGATGTAACGTAGATTTATATTTATTAATATCGCCATGTTGTTACCGTGAGAAAAATTCTATCTCGGCTTAAAATAATCTTATTCGAATCTTATTCGTAGAAGAACTACTAATTTACTTGACTGAATTAGTAAATATAATATTTTTCAC